GACAAGGCTATATTGCACAAGATGTTTTTCATTTTATAAAATGCAGTTTTTGCCTGTCCTATTCTGTTTCTTATGTCAGTTATGCATCTTCCATCTGATGTTATCCATGTGCCCAGATATTTAAATTTATGTACTTGTCCTAAAAAACACCATCGATTTTTTTACACATTTAGGAATAATTCGTTTCTTTGATACCACCATCATTTCTGTCTTCCCATTATTCAAACTTGGGCCCATTCGTCCACTTTCTAACACCACAATGTCTATCACTTCCTGTAGTTCTTTCTGACTTGTTGCTATCAAGACTGTGACATCAGCATAAGGTAAATTGTTTATATTGTGCCCACCAACCACAAATCCGTGCATATCAATTAAAGATCTCATTATATATTCACTGTATATTGAAAAAAAAAAAAATCAGGTGACAGTACACATCCTTGTCGTACGCCCCTCTTTATGCTTTGAAATGTACCTAAACAGTTGTTAATTCTTATAGCTGCTGTTTGCTGCCAACACATATTCTTTATTATTCGGAGATCTTTCCCATCAATGTTTAATTTTTCTAACAGTTTGATTACTTCTTCATGCTTCGCACAATCAAATGCTTTTGTATAGTCTATGAAGCATAAGTACAAATCAGTCTTTATTTCTATAGCTCTTTCTGACAATGTCCTTAGGATGTATATGGCATTGGGTTAAATGATAAACCTTCTTAAAACATCTTTTAAAAATTGACATATTTACATGCTGAACAAACTATGCATAGATTAACATGTGATATGATTTCGGAAGAGGCTGTGTGGTCTCAAGGCATGGTGTCCGCCTTGAGTGCTAGAGGTCCTGGGTTCAAACCCCAGTGAAGGTTGGAATTTTTTCACGTGGACTTCTAGTAATTTCCTCTGGTCTCTGGGTAGTAAGAGCGGACGCCATTGTGTATTGTTGCGCACGTAAAAAGTCTCTTGGCAGCTGGATATCAAAAGAGTAGCCTAACGTCGCTGCCCAGGCAAAATTAGGAGTTGAAAAACTCCCCAAATTATTTCAGGATCCTCGCCGGCGCATCAGAGTTCGTGCACTGCGCTGAGAAACCCCAGACACAGGCTTGATTTAGAAGAAGAACGAAACACCCCTGTGCGATGATGCTGATCATTATAGTTGCTCCGCTCCTGTGCCAACGAAAACACACAGAGTGTTTATCGCAGTTCTTTGTGGAAAGATTGACAGACTACTGTCTCAGCATATGCACTAGCATTAAAAGCATACGGTAGCCATCAGAAGTGCTAACACAAACAGTCCGACTTTTGAACTGCAGTTCATCATCGATGGTAACAGAAGTCACTAACAGAGCAGCACACGCGATCAGTATTAATCACATAATGGCACCACCAATATTGCGACAACAGGCATCGCGCCATTTTCTGAAACTACAATTCACACCACCACGTTGGTCACAGTTAAAAAACATTCTAAATGAAATTAGCAGCTCAAAGTATCACGCCATGCACTCAACTCAGAAGCTGGACGACGAAACTATATCGTTCCAGTCTACAAATGAAGCAAAAATGCAACGGCCACCGTCTGGCATAAGCAACACATTTTACATGACTACCACAGTGTAGATACACATACTTGTCTGGACATCACCGACTAACAGCATTGATTGGCTGTTAACTGGTCTTAAGATGAAAGCAGCAGAAGATGGCCTCACATAATATTTAATGCAACATAAAGGATCTTTTTCCACGATTTCAGGCGTACTGTACATATAGTAAAAAAAAAAAAAAACGTAATGGACCCTTTTCCACGCCTTTAGGCGTATAGGACATATAGGGCTAGCCCTATATTTTATAGACCAATCGGCACTTGGTAGGTGATGTGATCGATACCGCTCCAGTCACCTTTAGTTTCCAGTAGGGCTGTACCAAATATTCGCTTTGTATTCGCTTCGGGGCCGAATAGTGGACCTATTGACTATTCGGTCGAATAGTTGTGGTCGGGCCGAATACGAATAGTAGTTACCTTACACCCGCTTCTGCATACACAGCTCAATGCTGACAACATTGAACGATTGGTTTTGTTGGAAGCTAATGCAGCTTTCCTGCATTAACTAAGCTGTCAGTGACAATTTCCAAGTTTAGTTATTTGTTATAATACTTAGGATTCTTTCAATCCTAGTTATTAGTTATCACAGACTGACTGAAGGATGCAGAATATAAAATGTTTCTAAATGTTTACTATTCTGTACGAATACTAACTAGACATGGAAAGAATATGAACTCCGGCCACATACAAGTCGATAATATGAAAATCAATCGAACGGAAACATAAGTACTTGGGTGCAAACTTCAACTGCTCCAACATACTGAGAGAAGAAATACAATCTAAAATACAATCTAGAAATAAAGTGTACTATGCCCTTCAACATCTGCTAAAGTCAAAGTGTCTGTCTCGCAACACCAAGATCAAAATATATAAAACATTGAAAAGACCAGTCGTTTTATTTGGCTCTGAAACTTGCAGCAGAAATAAAAGAGTTGAGGCCTTATTACAGGTTTTCGAAAACAGTTCTACAACAAATCTTTGGACCAATCAAAGATGCTAACAGTGGGGAATGGAGAGTCAGAAGCAACAACTTAACACATAATATGTTTAAAACACCATTGATCACTGGCATCATGAGAGCTAACACACTAAAATGGGCATATTGAAAGAATGTCAGATGATAGAGAAGTAAAAACTGTATACACCTGAGAGAGAAATGGGCGTAGACCACGAGGCAGACACAAAATAAAATAATGAGAGATAATGTCCAGCCAGACCTGCAAACAACTGGTGTCACAAATTGTGAAGATAAGGCTAGCCAGAAAGATGAATGGAGGCTAGTGATATCTGCAGCAGTAAACCTTAAGGGCTCAGAATGCTAAAGAAGAAGATGACTATTCTGTGCTACTTTATGTGAAGTAAAAGTTCAGCGTACATTTGACATTATAAATGTGTGTTTTTTAGATATATTTTATATACTATTCGTTTTCGTATTCGGCCGAATAGTTGGTCCAGCTATTCTTATTCGGCCGAATAGTAAAAATAACTATTTCGGTACAACCCTAATACCAACAACCCGATGGCGAACTCTCGATGATGATTTTGATGATAAAGAGGAAGAAGAAGAAGTAGAAGCAGCAGATTTAAATCTGTCTGTCTGTCTGTCTGTCTGTCTGTCTGTCTGTCTGTCTGTCTGTCTGTCTGTCTGTCTGTCTGTCTGTCTGTCTGTCTGTCTGTCTGTCTGTCTGTCTGTCTGTCTGTCTGTCTGTCTGTCTGTCTGTCTGTCTGTCTGTCTGTCTGTCTGTCTGTCTGTCTGTCTGTCTGTCTGTCTGTCTGTCCGCCCGCCCGCCTGCCCATGTATATACCTACCTACCTAGCTGTCCAGTCTGTCTTTCTCTATCTATTTGCCAGTCTGTCTGTGTGTTTATCCGCAAATCTGTTTGAACATCGCTGCTCTATTTCTAATTTCTTATCTTGTCGCCTACTGGACCATCTCTCAGCCCGTTTATACTACGAGACATTATGTCAGCAGATAAGAAGAACACGTGACACATTCCCACAGATCAGACTTGAAGCTTCCACATCAGAGATCATCTGATACAATTTGAACAGAAAAATCCTAACATCGAGTTTCATTACCTCCGTTCCTTCCAAAAGTGCATGCCATGTGACTTGGGTTATTGTGTCACAGATGTCTGTCACTTAAAGATTCGTTGCGTATCCTTTACAGGACGTTGCAGAACCAACCCCAACAACCCCTGGCTGTTGTGTGGTTTCTCTAGGCAAATTTACGTCCAGTAGTTTGCCATTCCTTCTGGACGGTCAGCTCCCTGATACCACTGTCGAAACCAACATAAGGTGCATGGCCCGCAGCTGGGATCGAATCCGGCACCCCGGCATTACATAGCGTTCGCATCGACTTAGCTACAGAGCCGACTAAGCGTATCCTTTACAGGACGTTGCAGAACCAACCCCAGCAGCCCCTGGCTGTTGTGTGGTTTCTCTAGGCAAATTTACGCCCAGTAGTTTGCCACTGCCTCTGGACGGTTGGCCCTCTGATACCACTGTCGAAACCAAAGTAAGGCCTGTCACTTATACTGTCATAATTTCTGACACAAATGTTCTTCCATAGCCCAACGTCAAACTGTCCATTATCTTCACTATTAACGTCCCTCCGCTTCTATAATAGTAATAGAACAGAGAAGTTCTATTCTCCACAAACTTTCTAATTGTCAAACTGGCGGAAGTCCTGACTGTTCGTCCCCTTCTGTTCTTTGGTTTTGTTCCAGAAATTACACCGTGTGGGTTCAGAGTACCCATTGTGGATGCAAAAAAGAACATGAATTCCAGATTCGAATGAGATTCCATAATTGAGGTCTGTCTGAAATTGCTGACACATAGTTGTACTGTTTATTGCAATTAATAGACAAAAGGTAATATCAATTTTACCCGAGTTTTTCAAAACATGACTTGGAAAGATAATGAGAACAATGAAGATGTCTAAAAAGAAATTGACCCCCGAAGAGAACTGCTTGCCCCTATGACCAGGAGACAGTCAGAAGTCTTTGGCCATGTCATAAGAAACAAAAACTAGAGTACTGGTTGTGCCAACCACACTACTAACACTGTTTGGACCAATATCTGTCCAATGTCTGTCTTGACTCTCATATGTGCCCACATCACAGGGAGACTTGCTTTAGCAAGTCATGAGAAAGAAAAAAGAAAGGGGGAAAAAACACACTAGAGTGTGTACCAGCTGTGCCAAAACCTTACTAGCACTGTTTGGACAAATATATGTCATATGTCCGTATTCGCTCCCACTCCAGGATCAAAGTTTGAGAACCTCTCTAGCTGTGAAATGTCTATGAAGTTGGGCCTTATCTCTTCCCTTCTGCCAGTTGTCGTGGCTTCGCTCCCGTAGTCCCCGCTACGCAGATCTGCTGAGTCAGCTGTAGTTAATCATGTCTGTGTCCAGAGGCCTTGTTCTGACCCTGCTGTGTGTGGCCTGCAACGGTCAGTGGATGACCGAATACGACCAACACTTTAAAATCGAGTGTCCAGATCAGCAGATCATCAAATCATTGGAAAGCCAGCACGACAACAAGTATGAGGACAGGGTATGGAACATGATCTGCGCCTTGGCCACAAATGAGATTAGAATTGGAGCCTGCGAATGGAGCGGTTAGTGCGGTCATTTGTCTTGTACTGTGTTCTTGATTAAGGTTATTTATATACAGCGTGCATTTTTAATGACTCCATTTTTTACAATTAAAGTCGGCTCTAAGTCAAGGCGAACGCTTTGTAATGCAAGTATGCCCGGTTCGATCCTAGCTGCGGGCCATGCGTCTTGTGTTGGTTTCCACAGTGGTATCAAGAAAGCCGACCGTCCAGATAGCAATGGCAAACTACTGGACGTAAATTTGCCTAGAAAAACCATACAACAGCCAGGGGCTGTTAGGTTGGTTCAGCAACGTCCTGTAAAGGATACGCAACTAACCAACCATTTTTTTTCTAAATATTGCCCTTCCTATCATTGTAATCATTATCTGTTGAGTTAATGCAGCAAATATTGCTATAGTGGTTCTGATTTTAAGTACTGATTTGCACATTACAATTCTATCTGCAAACGATCCTTCTGGCTAAATTGCTAACAGTATTAAGATGAGGCCTTGAGTATCAGGAGATGACTTTATAAATTGTTGAACAACCACATTCAAATACCTGCCACCGTTTTAAGGAACACATGCTGAACCAGAAATAACGTCCTTATAGTTAACATCATTATAGCTAAGACGAATTACTAAAACAGCGGTGTTTAGCAGTGATATTCTAAACTAACGGTTACATGACGATTGAAACATTAGTACAACCTCGTTACATGTACTCGTTCAATATCAAAAACTAGGTTAACATGAACAGAATTGTGGTTCCACCAGAGATCTGTTTTTTTTTAGTCCCCAGTATACATCACATTTTGTAACACGAGCTCGATTTTTTATTTCTTTTAGGCCCGGCTCGCTAGCGTAGTTGGCTAAACCGAATTGCGCGATGACCAGGTGACGAACTCCTTGTGGTCTGGACTCACTCCCGGGGGTAGGCAGAAAAGCCACATTTCTCCCAGATTCACGGTATTTATCATGGAATCAAGGCCGAAGGGTTGCGATATCCATAATACCGAGCCTGACTGACTGACTGAATTTCTACCCCACCAGGACATCACACAAGCGACAAACACCCGATGACACAAAGTGCCACCATGCGGATGAGGATCACCGTGGAGAGGTCCCAGAAACCGCGTTCAGACACCTGGCCATAATGATGACCTGCCTATATTGCGGCCCCTGGCAAAAGCAAGAGTGGGGCTTCAAATAACAAAGAAATACGCCGTAATAAGGACGTATGGATAGTTAATTAATGTTAAATATACCGAGCCTAAGGGTTAATAACTCATGGCTTCTGGATACTAAACAAAAAAAATTCTTTTAGACGTGATACTATGTCAGCAAGGGAAAAAACAACATATTTATTATGGGTGCTGGAACCTGAGCTTAGGAATATAAACCCCCCCCCCCCCCCCGGCTTTTTATTTATCTACCTCTTCCCTCAGCCCCCCCCCCCCCCCCCCTTTTGCCGACTGGAACGTATACAAGGGAGCTAAACAACATCAGGACGAGTAAAATCTTTATCATAATGATCAAGCAATTATAAGTACATTGGTTAATGTGTAATTAAAATGCATTTGTAGTGAATTCCAAGGTCGATTTGGGAGTGAAATGCGAACGTTATTTCAAAGAATGGATCGGAGAAATTCGAGGCTGGGAACGGATCAAACCAATTTCAGCTCATTCCTATGGGAAAAATTATTTTTACTTTAGTCATTTAAAAAATAAATATTTATCCTTCCCTCAGGAACAGATTAATGACGAATAATGGAGTTCCAATGTATGTTGTTATATTTTTTTGCCATTCGGCACACCATTGTTATTATTATTAGTATGATTATTATTATTTTAAAAACAATAATAAAGCTTCGGCGTCTTGAAAAGGTTCAACAAATTGATAAGGGAGTTCACTCTTCTCAACTCAGACCCCCTCCCCTCCCCTAACTTCCCCCCACTGTCGCTCCCAACTATATAAGACACATATCGCTTATATGTGACTGGTGCAGTAGTAGATATAGATTTGTAATCCTAGTGGACACCGGTTCATGCCTCATTGATGTTGACTGTAAAGCTTACCTAACATAGATATGAGGAAATGCCCTCTAACTAAACAGTAACGGGCTGAACACTGACCAATTTGTTGAGTGCGTTCTGACAAGTCTTTAACAACGTGGCATTAGAGATGTATGTCAAGGACGCCTTCTGGCGTGGCAATTTGTCTTTCATATGTTTTACTTATTTATAACCAGAAGCCGCGGTAATGTAGTGAACAGACGCTCGACTGTCGGTCTGTAGGTCGTGAGGTCAAAACCACACTAGGCGAATCTGGAAGAACAATGACCTTGTCTTTAAGGTCAGCCTCTTCTAAAATAGGGTACGAGAAATGTCCTTGGAAGTAAGTGCGCCCAGTGTGCTCAAGAAGAGCTGAGGTTTCATGTCGCCCAAAACTTTTTTTTTTTAAAAGAAGGGGGAGGGGGAGTTAGTGAGAAAGTACTGGGCCCCTAGTGAATTGTTTGTGTCGTAATCCTGGGTCTAATCAGTTGATGATTGTCCACATGCTATGTCAACAACTGTGAGGAACTGGGTCTAATCAGTTTTTGATTGTCCACAGGCTATGTCAACAACTGTGAGGAACTGGGTCTAATCAGTTTATGATTGTCCACAGGCTATGTCAACAACTGTGAGGAACTGGGTCTAATCAGTTTATGATTGTCCACATGTTATGTCAACAACTATGACGAACTGGGTCTAATCAATTGATGGTTGTTCACAGATTATGTCAACAACTATGATGAATTAGGTCTAATCATTTGATGGTTGTCCACAGGCTATGTCAACAACTGTGAAGAACTGGGTCTAATCAATTGATGATTGTCCACAGGTTATGTAAACAACTGTGAGGAACTGGGTCTAATCAGTTGATGACTATTCACAGGTTATGTCAACAACTTTGATAAACTAGGTCTAATCAGTTGATGATTATTCACAGGTTATGTCAACAACTAAAGGGTCTAATCAATTGAAGGTTGTCCACAGGTTATGTCAACAACTATGATGAACTCCTTGAGTACCAGTGTGCGGACGAACGAATCATCGCCGGCATAGAGAGCATCCACGAAAACGCATATGAGGACAGAAAGTACAGCTTCAAATGTTGTGTCCCAGAAGGTACCCACACCGTCTAGTTTACCAAATAAAGCATACTTTTTCTTTATTGCTATACACAGTTTAGTTTATTATATTGAATATAGTTTTCTCTGTTCTACTCAAAGACTGGTTAATGAAATAAAGCCTAGTATTTGTATTTGGGCAAAGTACATGAATTTAAAAAAAAAAAAGAAGAAAGAAACAGTAACTTTCTAAGAGATATTAACATCAAGGAAAGTTGGCAAGTAAACAGCATTTTGTCTCGGAAAGTTAAATGTTTGCCATATCAAGCGCCACAGCCGACTGCAAAACTTTAACAGCGAAAGGCTTAGTACCAGTAATGTGAGCAGGGGCCCACCAGCGCAAATGTGGGCACAGGATATAAGGGAGACGTAGAGTAGGAAAGTGCACGAGGCGGAAGTGTTGGCAAGGAGACCGTGATGAGACCGGTGTTCTGCTGAGGAACTGTCACATGATGATGATGTCGACTTGTATTTGTCATCCATGCTCTTGTCTGTATGTTAAATTATCATATTGTGTGTGTGTGTGTTGCTTTATTTGCTTTATAGATAAAGCGCAATTCCTGTTTGAAAGTTGAGTGTTTTATCGAATGTAACATGAAACTTAAAGTTCTATATGTGCTTGAGTTGATATACTTGTCAGTTAGTGTGTGAGAGGTGAGTGGTGTCAGGTACCAATTGTAAGATGGACGAGTCCTTTATTTGAGATCCTTGGAAACTGGAGCTTTTTGGATCGTTTGTTCGTTGCTTCTCTTCTGCTATTCTTCCAGCGGCATCAACGCAGTGTTGGATGAGGGCAGGAATAGAGGTGTAAACATCTTCTGTCTGTTCTTTCATATACACCGTGTAAAATAATCTTCATTTCTCTAAAGCCGTTCTTGATACCGTCGTTCTATTTTATGTGGCATTCTCTTGCTTTTATTTCTTCTGTGTGACTCTCTGGGGCAGTTGGTACTATGGCATTCTCGTGAGATGGCCAAACCATCTCATCTGTTGCGTTTTAATAAAGTGTACGATCGGTTTGAGTTCTAGTCTTCTTCTAAATTCTGCCTGTTTAAATAAATCTCTCATTATTTCTTATTATCTGAGAAGACACCGAGTTATGTTTTTGCTTATCCTGTAGTTATTGTTGATATTATTATTAAAACTGGTAATATTAATGTCGCTGTTGATGTCATTAGTGCTATTTTTAATGTTGCTGGCGATGTCGGTATACTGTTGCTTTTGTTGATGTTGATGAAGACGTGGATGTTTTTAATGGTAATGATGACGTTGTGTTGTTGATGTTAATAACGACGTTGATGTTGTTGTTGTTAAGGATGACGCTGATGCCGTTGAAATGGTTGATGATGTTGCTATATCTGATATTGTTGCTATTGCTGAAACAGCAAATGCTGTTCACAGTCTTTAGCGTTTATATTGATACTGCTGCTGATTTTGTTGATGTTATTGATATTGTTCATGTTAGTCATATTGTTGACAGTGTTGTAGATGTTGATACCATTTTTGACGCACTTGACATTGATGGCGTTGTTGTGGTTACCGATGGTTTGAAAGTTGTTTTGTGCCTACTTCCAGGTGTGGTAGCCCACTCCTGTGAGATAACACCTTACGTCAACGACTATGACAAATTGTTCAACTACCGAGTCCCCGACGGATTCGCCATCAAAGGCGTCGACAGTGTCCATGACAACCACTATGAGTAAGTAGTCTGGCAACGGTCAAGGGGGGCTTATTCTTGTAGCTTTTCCTGGTGCAGACGTACTCTCCTCCCTCATTCTGAAGTAATCGGTTAGTTAGTTAGTTAGTTAGTTAGTTAGTTAGTTAGTTAGTTAGTTAGTTAGTTAGTTAGTTAGTTAGTTAGTTAGTTGGGTTATCATCATTGCACTCCGGACACACCCTTAGGCGCTCAGATCCGTCCCTCAGTACGAGCTCCAGCGTCCGATGGTTAATAGTGCCAGTTCTATGTTGATTAACACGTCCTCTGATGTGCCTGGTGTGTGTCTCGTTGTTTGCTGTACCGTTCTAAATGCCAAAGTCTATCATTCTGGCGAGTGATGTGGATTCACTGCCCCCCCCCCCCCCAAAGTCTTCCACCCTTTCCATTTCTCAGTGGGCATTAATAACCACCCTTTCCATTTCTCAGAGGGCAATAATAATGTCAGCATGATCCATGGGTTGACAGTCGATAGTGATAGCCGATCCAGCCGATCAGCTCTTTCATTTCCATCGACACCTGCATTCCCGGTACTAAATTAAAGGGACCCCATTTTTTTCGCACCGATCTTGCCTGAACCCTCCGGGTCACACTCATTGAATCACCGACTACACATGTGCGGGCGTAGTTTTGTGTTTCGAGCCACTCGAACACTTGCTTACTGACATCACCTCGATAGTCATGCTGCTGATTGTCAAGGAAAAGGCGCTTTGGCTTCTTTGGCTGTTCTGCCTTTTGAGAATTCCACAGGGGAGCATGCATAGCAGGGGTTCACCGTAATCAGTAGAAAGATCCTTCGTCGACGATTGTTTCGGCCCATAACTTCCTATACAATCTCGGAAGGTGGGTCCGACCTGGTTCATGACTCCAGGCCTCGATCTTCACTTGCTGGACTTTACTGGACTCGAAAGGCAAAAGACGATATGGTAAATTTGTAACAGGTGTTGTGAGATTTGGTGTTTTATTGTCGCTGCGGTAGCAAATTATATCAGTCAACTACCTTAACGACCAGAGTGACAAGTTAACGGTTGGTTCATCGGGCAGGTGTTGGACTTTGGCATTTGGCAGAGAGACACTGGAAGACATTCATCGGACTTAAGGGGATAAGAATCTCCTCTCCACTAGGGGCTCAGATCAGTCTATCGAGGCCTTTCCCCTACGACGCTCCGTTGCGTCCAAAGCCAGATCGAAGCTCTTTCAGCATCTTCGACAAGTTGTTTTAGTGACCGTTTACGCTCGTTTCCTCGCAAGTCCAGCTGCTTTAGCAAATTGTACGTGGAAGTGGCGATAAGACCACTTGCACCTTTCTCGATGGCGAAGATTTTTACTGTGTATGCTTTGTCTCTCCTCAGACCGGCCACTAGCTCATCGTACTTTTCAAGTTTGTACCTATAATTTTCCTCCATTCGCGAATCGTAGGGCACGGTCAGCTCTATCAGGATGAGCTGACGTTTTTCCGCAGAGTGTAGGACTATGTCTAGTCGCAGGCCAGTCTTTCGGATTGACTCTGGGTACTTTTTGAAACCAGGCAGGTCGACAGCCAGTAACCAGTGCCTCGCACAGTCAAGTATTAATGGAGCGTATGCGACCTTGTTGCCTTTACCTTTAGAAATCTGCCCAGCCTTGAGGGTGACGATAGGACTGGCCTTTGCCTTGACCTTCATCCTGGCTTGGTTCACAATGTCCGCTAACTCTTTCAGGACTTTATTGTAGTGCTAAGTATATCGTCCCTGGCCTGGAGCTGTTCTGCACGCGGATAATACGTGCTCGAGCGTCTGCTTAGCTCTACACAGTGGGCATGTCGGGTTGGTAGTCGCATGCCATTTCACCATGTTGACGCCAGATCGTACGCAGATCATATAACGTATCTCTTATGGTATTGCTGCTACTTTTTATACTACTGCCAACACCACCACTGCTACATCTACAACTAATGTTTCTTTTGCAACGCTTTAGTATTAGAGTAAAACAGTGTTATTTATCTGTCGGTCTGGGAGCCAGATGTAGCCCACGGAGCCTAGCAATTGGTTCACAGATCTTCTTCTTCTTCTTCTTCTTCTTCTTCTTCTTCTTCTTCTTCTTCTTCTTCTTCTTCTTCTTCTTCTTCTTCTTCTTCTTCTTCTTCTTCTTCTTCTTCACTTCCTCTTCTACCGCTGTGGGTGTCGAGGGAGATATAAGGTTCTGTTTCTGGCACTTCTGGCCGCCTCGACCATAGGCACATCGTGCTGTTGTAGAGCTTCTCTGATGTTATCCTTCCATCTTGTTCTTGTTCTACCTCTTGCTCTACGACCTTCTTCTCTTTCCATGTATGCTTTGTATGGTATGGTGTCACAAGGCATTCTCTCTAAGTGGGCAAACCATTTCACTTGCTGTCTTTAGATCCACAGATCATTGGCACTTATACTGTGTTTATGA